TTTTAGGATTTGAGTTTTAGGATTTGAGTTTTAGGATTTGAGTTTTAGGATTTGAGTTTTAGGATTTGAGTTTTAGGATTTGAGTTTTAGGATTTGAGTTTTAGGATTTGAGTTTTAGGATTTGAGTTTTAGGATTTGAGTTTTAGGATTTGAGTTTTAGGATTTGAGTTTTAGGATTTGAGTTTTAGGATTTGAGTTTTAGGATTTGAGTTTTAGGATTTGAGTTTTAGGATTTGAGTTTTAGGATTTGAGTTTTAGGATTTGAGTTTTAGGATTTGAGTTTTAGGATTTGAGTTTTAGGATTTGTGGTAACGTTTATGATTGCATTATATGTTCTTATTAATTGATTTCACATCCATTTACATCCATTATTATTGTCGAAAACAGATGTCTTTGTGAATTAAGTTCGGCACGACGATAGATCAACGTTTGAATCAGTGTCGAGCTTTTGCCGTGCAGAAGCACGACTGGCGCTGGCATGATCAGAGGGTGTCAATGGGGGTACCAAAAAGTCAGTTAACTACTAATTTTTGAGTCAAAAGTCAATTAACTACTATATTTTTGAAAAGTCAGTTAACTACTATATTTTGAAAAGGTCAGTTAACTACTAATGTTAGATAGGCATTAACTTTTGGTCTCTTGTATCGAATATCATTTGCATTATAAATTGCATTTATAATGCTAACATCACCAATAAACTGATTTGTGCAATCATTTTATGTAATGGGTTGTAATAGATTACTTGTAGCAGTTCTGTATCCATATTTACGTAGGAATAATGATTTTAAGGTGGCTTCCTACAGTTGTTTTTCGACCATACCTCTCATTTTAAATTCGCTTTTTGAAAATCTTGCATGAACCGATGTGTTTCGTGTTTGGACCAGTATTTAAGCATTGACCAAAGTTTTGTTTGGCATAATATTTAGCTCTATCAGTGTTACCTAGGCAACGGAATTTGCATTTTGTCGAAATTCGTTTTTCCCAAATATGGCTMAAAAAATTGATGAGATCCTAGCGGTAGACATCATCATTTACTTCAAACTATTGCATAACATTTTGGAATAGTTAAAAACAAATTCATCTGTTCGATTTCGAGTAATATTGACAAATATTTCATGGATGTGATTTTTGCATATTACTCGAAATCGAACCGATGAAATTGTTTTTAACTATTCCAAAACGTTATGCAATAGTTTGAAGTTAACGATGATGTCTACCGCTTTTCTGGATCTCATCACTTTTTTGAGATATTTGGGAAAAACGAATTTCGACAAAATGCAAATTCCGTTGCCTAGATAGAGYTTAAGGGTGTACTGACGTATCCGTTTCTAGACGACCTGGTTGCTATGCTAGCCGATGCTAGCCAATCGGAGAAGCGRGCGCGCGCGCGTTTTCATGGCGGGRAAATTTTTACTTCCGGTGGCAAGGTTTTTGTTTACATAAAATGTATAGTACCATTTAAAAAATATAATCTTCGGTGCGAAACACCAAATGGACGTGTTTTTTTCAATATTTATGTTCTTCACAGCCTCCTCTTCAGAATCAAGCATGGGTTTGGCGAAAAAATAAAAAATACGAAAGTTATTGGCATTTTTCGCTTATTTGTGGCATTTAAAAAATCGTAAAAAGCTTATTTTGCAATCATTCTAAAAACGCATGCTTGGCTTTACGGACTTAAATCTAAAGATTAATTTCATCCATTTTAAATCGTTTAATATACTTTGCCTGATGAAATTATAGCATTTTTCGTATTGATGACGTCACGCGATGACGTCATACAATGACGTAATAGAATGTGTTATTTTTGTTTGGGAAGGCTTAATATTCAATACGAAAGCGATTTTACTTTTGTTTGTCATTTTAGAGATCTACTGAATTTCCCTAGCAACGGATATGTCAGTACACCCTTAACATTATGCCAAACAAAACTTTGGTCAATGCTTTAATACTGGTCCAAACACGAAACACATCGGTGCATAGCAAGATTTTCAAAAAGCGAATTTAAAATGAGAGGTGTGGTCGAAAAACAACTGTAGGAAGCCACCTTAAACATAGTTTGTAGAGGAAAATGGTTAGGAAGCCTAAGCATTTTGTTGTTAGGTTTTTGTGCACTTTTTTCCAAGCGTGACCGTGCACAATCTTTTCTTTAACTATTGTTTTAGCCAAACTGGTCACATCTGAACAGAGCGAAAATTATTCTTTTG